CGTCTCCGCACCCAGTCACAGCCATGACTCAAGGGTAACCTCCATGACAAGGGGGAAAACCGCGACGGATTGACTTGACAGAGGTAGCCCACAAACCGCAACTCTGAAGAACCACAGTAGTTCGATATCGAATATACCACCTGAGTCGGCCTCAAACTGTGTGCTAATTTCACAGGTCCACATTTTTAAACCACCAGAACTTGGCCCATACATCGGCTGCAGGTCCTTGTCGTATACACTCCACAATTTTCGGGGCTCGAGTGGCTGGCGCCACTGGCCATACAAAAGTTGTGCTGGTTCGTTTTTTTGGCGCACAGCACGTCTCCAGCATCGCAGAAAAGTGCCTCGGAAGTACTGGTGGTTCAAGGGCATACTCACAGTAGCACTTCTCCCATTGGATGTGGCAGCAATCACAGTCAGATACATCCAGAAATGTTTTCAGGCATTCATACCAAGCAAAAACTGCATGATAATTTCACAAATCCTCCCCCAAATATTCACGGCAGAGCTTCACTAAATTTGGCCACATTCACAGTCAGACACGTCCAGAACAATCCAGCAGTAATTATCGCCCAAGCTGAAACCAGCCCTCCCTCAGCTGACCACGTAACCTCAACAAGTCCCCACAGGCACAAGTCAATATGCAACAAGCTGGACAGTCCCAACTGTTTACTATCCCTGCTACAACAACAGAAGCAAGGGGTGGCATGATGTAAACAATTTGATAAAATTGCTACAACTCCTCAAAATGCCTAACTTAAACTGTTGTCATACCATTCAGATGCGGATATCAGGAACACGGGAATTGCAGGGCACAGTGGCTGCCGTTGAGAAGGGGCAATCTGAAAGGAACAATACACATAGTAAGCTCTGAGCAGGAGGACAAGAGAAAGGTGGATTCCAAAAGAAGAAACAGGAAAAGGGAGTGGTGTTGGTTTGTCAACGCTTACCCATCATCAGATGAGAATGAAGAGAAGGAGAAACCAGAGGATGCACCAGATGGTGAGGACTGTGTCTCTTTATAACGTCGCTTCCTTGGTGGGCGCTTCACAAAACGATTCTTCTCCCAAAGCGCCTTGACTACCACACACAAATTCCCGCATGATGCCTGCGCAATTGGCCACCAGATGCACACAAAGCACTAAGCATTCACCGCCTTTGTTCGACATCAACACAATTGCATCCAGTCAGTCATCAGTGTCCTTTTCATACAGTGAGGAAGCCCATCAAATGAGAGCATTCGCAGTGTGGACTGAACCCAATGCAATCCTTTGTGCAGACAATGTTTGCTTGTATCCTTAAATTCCAGCTCTCTTGCTCTTCATTGTAGACTGAAAAAAGGGAAGGTTTCCATGCATTTGTGCCTGCAGTCCCAGTCCCGATCCCAAAAAGTCCCAAGCCCGATGTCACGTGTACCATAATCCAAACCGGTAGGCCCAGTAGTATTGCAGACCAGGTACGGTACCATAGGTCCATCATATACACAGGCCAGTAATCTTTAGGCCTGGGGAGTCCAATCCGGTGCACTCCAAAAGTAGCAGCTCAGTCCCGGGAGAGTCCACTACCTACCGGAATAGTCGAGAGATAACAGCGGTCCGTAGTCCAACATTGGGAACTGCAGCCATAAAAAGTCCACCAGCAGCCAAACATCCACAATTTCCAAGTACAGCATTTCACGGAAGCGATGTTGGGGTCTTGTGCGTACAACCAGCGACTGAGGCTGAGAGGGAGCGACGTGGCACAGCCAACAGCCCCCGATGAAGTAGGATACTCAACAGCGCCTGGCGCCCGGCAAAGAAAAGTGCTCTCTCTCTCTCTCTCTCTCTCTCTCTCTCTCTCTCTCTCTCTCTCTCTCTCACACACACACACACACACACACACACACACACACACACACACACACACACACAGAGCTATGGTGCAGAGTAGTACCTCACCTAGCTACGGCTACTCTTGCTCTCTCTCACTTTCCATTTACCTTCTTCCGGGCTAGCGCTCCAGTAGCTGCACTCCAGCCTCAAAGCAGCACAAGGCAGACAAATCCACCATTTGCAGTGTTGACTCAGTCTGGCCTGCCTCCAGTTGCCTCCTCATGTCGCAGCAATTTTCAGGCCTGTGCAACCAAGACTTTCCTGTGGCAGTTTGCACATGGAACCAACAGGCCTTGGAAGCTTCTGGAAACTGCACTGAGGCTTTGGATTGTCTGTGATCTTTGGTCGTGGTTGATTCCTAAGAAGTCTAACCATCGATCCCGGGTTGGGGCTGACTGTTGACTTCCCAGGGTCGGCTTTCATGTCTACTAGAAGCCTTGAGCACCTCTTTTCGACCCGTAACTCCAGGCCTGTGAATGCCTCGAATAACGGGCAGGTCGCTTCTCCAATATTATAGATAATTCTCCACAACAGCACGCAACCTTCCGGTGCGAGGCCAAGACCGTTACCCAAATTCTGACGACCCAAATTCTTCAGAACAGCACGCAACCTACCAGCCTCCCGTTTTTTTCAAGGCCCTACAAGGAAACATCGAAGCAACGGTAGGCCCAAAGGCTTCAACAGCTGATAGGCCCTCCACGGAGCGTAGACTCTCAATTGCCTTTCCCCTCATGACTCCATAGATGCCCAAATGAAATCAAAGAGGGCCAAACCAAATCTCATTTGAGCTGGCGCTGGCGAGTGGGTCATGAGGATCGAATGGCCCACAGCACGTGTTGACAAGCATCATGGCTGCCCAGTGAAAGCGAGCCAGCGAGAGAGAGAGAGAGAGAGAGAGAGAGAGAGAGAGAGAGAGAGAGAGAGACGTGTGATACAGTGAGGGCCGCAAGAGAGGTGTGAGAAGGAGACAGTGGGGCAAGCAAGGGAGAGTGATGAGGGAGAACTGGGGAGGCACACGCAAAAGCAAAAAAGGGAGCCCGCGCACGGGCGAACGATAGGGGGTCTGTTTGCAGACTTGGACAGAGAGAGAAAGACAGACATGCATCGAGGATTATGCCATTGATCTGCTTCCTGGAGATGAAGTGATTACAAAAAATCCCCAGACAGCATCCTGGGCCTGGTACAGCTTGGAACAAGAAGGCGGGTGCATCATTATCAACCATCGCAGTAACTTCTATTTTTTGTACAGATCTCGAGCAGGACAAATGGAGCAGACAGTACCCGTCATGGGCAATATTGTACAGTCCTTGTGGTGATATCTATTCAGCAGTCAGCAGACCACGTGATGACTTGCCCAGCTCCACCGGCACCATACAACACGGCGGGAGACGTCAACCCGCTTGTTTTGATGACAATATGACCCCCTGGTTGCCTGACTTCGTGTTGCAGTTCTATCAAGTGATGCTGCTTCTGCTACTGCCCCAGCTAATGCCCCTGATACTGCACCAGCTAATGCCCAACTACTGCCTCTGTGTGTGAGAGAGAGAGACAGAGAGGGAGAGAGAAAGCTCTCTCTCTCTCTCTCTCTCTCTCTCTCTCTCTCTCTCTCTCTCTCTCTCTCTCTCTCTCTCTCTCTCTCTCTCTCTCTCNCACACACACACACACACAAACACACACACACACAAACACACACAAACACACACAAACACACACAAACACACCCGGCATGCACCAATGGCCCCAATGCTTTTGTGATGAGCCTGCTCCTCCTTTCCGAGCCTGCCAACCGAGCCGAAGTCCAATACTCTTATCTATGTTCACCATTTTTTTTCAGAGTTTTCCATCAATTATTCTGAGCAAGAAAAATCGCGAAGTTAGTGCGCTCCCTCTTAGCAGGACTGCGCCTCACTGCCGAATTGATTTCACGGGCCCACGGACCTAGGCCTCCGCCTCTTGCACTGATGCGTCTTTTAAAGGGGACCAGCCGCCTAGAATTCCCACAATCTACTTCGGTCCTCCTCTCAACAACCGCTCCGCTCGCCTCTCCGAAACCTCCCTCCCTAAAATTTTGCACTCTTCGCCTAACTGCTTCAGCCCCGGTGACGACAGACAGCTAGGACAGTGGACGGAAGCATGGGGACTATACAAACACCCAACATGCATTTGCAGTACACTACATAATACACAGGAAAATTCGGGCTCGACTGTCAGACTTCCTCCTGTTTGCGTCACAAGTTCTTGACAGGGGTCAACCGCATCCGCCAATTTGCTCTTTGAGTAGAGAATTGATGCCAATTTATTTTTTATTTTTTAACTGATGCCAATTTATGGGTCGGCCATAGCAATGACGCCCAGTCAGCCACAGCAGGAATTGTGCGCAGTCAGCCACAGCAACGATCCCCGGTCAGTCACAGCAAAAAGCCCAGTCAGCAACAGAAATGCTGCCCATGCCTTCTGTTCATAGGGATGAAAATACGGTACGCAGTGAAAATAATCATCACACAAGCGCACAAAATTACACCGAGTTTCTGTACGCTGAAAAGGGGAAAACGAAGCCCACGCAGAACCTTACCGAGAACTGGACACGTGGGCCTTACCGAGAACTGGACACGTGGGCTGGGCTGAACACATGACACAGCCACGTTACCAGCATACACGGAACGTGAGGGTACAGACAACCAACACACAGGAGTCGGACACACCGAGTGTAGACTCTGTGCGCTGGAGAAGAGGAAACGACGACACAGACACAGAGTCTCCACGAGGAATGAATACGTGGAGCGCCTTCACGTTACCACGAACACAGGGCCAATGACTCTAAACAAGTGATGCTTACCTCCAGAAGGTCCAAAGTCCTAGCAACGAAATGTGGTCTGAAAATCATTCATACAAACAAACAAACAAAGGACACGAGCTGGAGTACAACGGAGAAAGGAGAAAGAAGAAAGGAGGGAGAGAAACGAACAAAACCAGGGATGGCACAGCACAGCAGAGGACAGAAAGAGAAAGCAGAAAGCCCCGTACGTACTGCTGACGTTGTCAGAGGGAATTCTCGGTGCAAGGAAAGGAGATGGAAAGGGTGATAGATGTCCAAAGAGAGCAGAAGACTAACAAATAGTACAACTGACGAGAGGAAAGCAATCACGCGAGAGGAGAAAGCAAGGAGACAGAAAAACAACGTAAAAAGGTAGATAAGTAAAAGAAGCCGCAGAGACGAAATGCAGAGGAAAGTGAAGTGAGAAAATGGACGACCGTAGAAAGGGTGCAACAGAGGGAGTGGAGAGAGAGAGTAAGGAGACATGAGGAACGAAGTAAAAGAAGACATAGCCAAAGGACACCTGAGTAGACAAAAACCGGTGGGATGAGACAAAGAAGAGAAAGATGGGAAATGGAGAAAGGCGGTGAGAGAGTACGCAAGGAATGAAAGACGAAAAAGAGGGAAGGGAACCCAGAGGGAAGGAAAGACAACAGGACCGAGGAGAGGGGTAGGGGAGGAGGAAGAAAAGGTAGGTGAGGAGGCAGGAGAGAGAGGACAGGAGGTAGGAGAAGAAGGAGAGGACGTAGGAGAGTGGAGAGAGAATAAAAGAGGAAGAAAACAGAGAGGCGGGAAAAGAAGGCGAAGGAAGGAAAGAGAAAACTGAAGAGAGCCTATGTCAGTCAAGGTCGAGAGAAAGCAAAAAAACGAGATAGCAAGGGGGAGGCATGAAAGTCAACGTGCGAATGGATTGGCGAAAGGAAGGCAATAAACAGCCGCGAGGAGGTGCACATGGACAGAGTAATGAGCGCATGCGAGTCCTCAAGCAAGCACAGAAAGAAATATCTTCGCCCCCTCTCTACCCACCCGCCTGCAAAACAAGGACCGACATTTCCGTCCAGAACCTACAAAACCACAAGAAACGAGACTTCAAAATTTCCGCTATATTCCTTCTCCACATGCCTGGCAATCAACATTCTATCAACATTCTCTCTCTCTCTCTCTCTCTCTCTCTCTCTCTCACGCGCACACCCACCCACCCACCCACACACACACACACACACACATACAACACAACACAAGCTGTTCGTTTCGCCGGTTATCGTTTTCGTTGGCGTAGCCATGAGCTGCACATCCTTTTGATTCTTCCCAAGTTGCTACCCTTCCTCATTTTCTTCTCTCCCAGTCCAAAGGAAGGGGTATCATTCGTGAGACCTCACGAAATCGCTGGGCTTATCTACCCCGACCACCCCCCCCCAATTGCCCCCGGTTCGTTCTCTCCTCCATGTCTGACTAGCTTCTTTCTAGATATGCCATGTCCACCAAACCATGTATGACCGTTGAGAGAAACGAGAAAAATTATCCTTCCCCAGCCGTCCGTCTGTAGACTTAGCGTCCGACTAGATAAATGGCGTCCGGGTGGTCAGGGATCTCTACATCGCACAGAAACAATAGTGGACATCGAACTCAAAACGACCATTAGATTCTCGCCCAACCCCTGCAAACAGGAAGAAAACCTTTCGCCGTCCGACTGAGAATCCGACGTACCCACTCAAAGCGGCGGGCCGCTTGGGAACCAGTGTAGTCCTAACAGATAGCGTTCGTTTCAACTCTTCTCCCTACACACGCTACTGCTGCCTCCCCCCCCTCCTCTCCCCCTTTTTCCCAGAATCCACCCCTCTCCATATATATAATCTTCTGCCAGTCTGCCCTTGTTCCCCTGACCTCATCGTTCTTTTCACCATTGTGCCTATTTTCTGACTCTATACACGGCCTTAGCGCCATCCTTCTCCTGTTCTCTGACATTATACACGGCCTTTGCGCCATCCTTCATAAAGAGAAGAAGAGGTAAATTGACCGTTGAGTTACCTAAGCTGCTAGTGATTTACGCTGTCCGAGGCTTCCAAAAGTGTTGGCACTATCATTATCTGCAACCAACTCAAAATTTTCTCACTACCCCACGCATCGTCCTAATTGCTTCAGACGGTTGACCCTGACATCACTGCGTCCGTTGTTCGTTCACTCCACGTCGGAGCCATCTGCACTGCCCACCTGGCTCACCTTGTCAAGGACACCTGAAGGTTCTACACGCCAGTTTAACTGCCTGCCCCTTCGAGACGAGGATGCCTCGTCTTCCTCCTCATCCCGCTGACGTCTCCTCTCGCCTCATCTCAACGCCAAGACCACCTTCTGCGAAATCCTCGTCCGTGAGCTTAAAAAAACCAAAAAAATGTTTCCACCTCTCGTTAGACGCTCGTCCCTGCATTCTTCTCTCCAAATGCCCACAGTGAAAATGGCATTCCAATTGGAATTACATACATCTCTCTCTCTCTCTCTCTCTCTCTCTCTCTCTCTCTCTCTCTCTCTCTCTCTCTCTCTCTCTCTTGCCCGGCCTCAATCTACCTACTTATCTACCTTACCATCTACCTATCTTTCTTTTCTCCTTTTTTTTTTTGCTATCCAAAAATTTGGACCATTTCTCGATTTATGCGTGTCATCCTTGCGCAGGGGCCATGCTAATCTTCTCTGTATCGTTCCAATTTTAACGGATGTCCCGAAGGACACCATATAACTATCTTTCCTCTCTTCGTTCAATTGAAAAGGGCGTAGGAACTAACATCTGAATTCAAATTATCGACTGATTAAAAGTTAAGACGTACATACACACTATTTACAAATGAGAGAGGTACCCATCTGGCTTTGCTTCTTATACATACGCCTACCTACTTGTGTACCAACTTATCGAGGCTCAATTGCACCGGATCTTTGCATCAATTAACTTGGTCAAGGAAAGGACCACTTCTTTCTGTCTGTAATGTGCACATTCTCCTTATCCTCCTCGCTACTCGCACTTTACAACTCTGCTCTCCTATTCGCGCTTGTTGCCTGCCCTTTCCCTCCCGCCCTCCCCTTGCTACCGACTATCTTGTTGCCAGGTTACCGTACCTTCGTTCAGCAAGCACTCGCAAAGCTGGTTCGCAGACCGAACATGACCATCAATGAGGTCCAAATGCATGGCGCAGAACATGACTCCCAGTCCAGCACTCTCCGATCTCCCGTTAGCTCGTCATGCTCTCCCTACAGCCGTTACAAACCCTTGTTGACTCGTCCTCTCGACTCCAAGACAAACGAATCTGTGCCGCGTGTGTTGTGTGTGTTATGTTCTGTGTAGGTTATGTGCGTGTGTTGTATGTGCTGTGCCTGTTGTGCCTGTTTTCTTTGTGTTTTTTTTTTGCATGTGTGTGGGTGTCTGAGGGTGTGTGTGGTGTTTGTGTGTGTGCGCTTCGTGTGAGAGGGGGGGGATGGTTCTGGGTCCGATTTTCGGCACCAGAACCATCCAGCCTGCGCACACACACACACCACACACAAAAAAAAAAACAGGCAAACACCACACACAACACACACAAGACAGGCAAACAGCACACACAAGACAAACACCACACACAACACACAAACACCACACACACACACAAGACACACAAGCACCACACACACACACACCAGGCAAACACTACACACAAGACACAAACACCAGACACAACACAAACACCACACACAACACACACACACACACACACACACACACACACACACACACACACACACACACAAGACACACAAACACCACACACACACAACACACAACACACAACACACAAACACCACACCACACACAAGACATACACCACACACAACACAAACAGCACCGTGAGTCAAATTAAGCCGCAGGCTCCACAACACACACACACACACACACAAGACACACAAACACCACACACACACACACACACACACACACACACACACACACACACGACACACAAACACCACACACAAAACACACAAAACACACACAAAACAGCTGAAAAACCGTCTCCATACCTGTTTCCTGGATTTAACACGCTTTCATTCACACTTTGTCGCCCCAACCTACTACTTCTACACCCGGTGCTCCTTTCGCCTCTAAATTCAGCCCTCCTCAGTAGATCCCAACCGGCTACAGGAGAGCATCGTGATGACTGACCCCTCGATTTCCTGTATTCACCTAGTGATGACGATCGGCCGCCGTCCGTCCACCCTTTCTGGTCACCGCTTGTACGCGGAAAGGACGTTGTATTTGCGCCTTCCGCAGTCGCCGTTTCATCACTTCTCCTTCACGGTTACCCGCTCCATTCAGCGCTTCTGCCCGCATCAGTTATCGGCCAATCCGTTTCACCCTTCTTTCCTCCCTGCCTTTCCGGCATCCTTTTGCCAATCCTCCTCCCTTGCCGTCGACAACGCATTCCACTGACGAAATGGGGCATGTACAAGATCGCCTCCTAACAGGTAAGTCCCCTCTGAGAACAGCGCATCCGCACATACGATCTGAACGAAAAGACGCATTGATACGAGAGGCAGAGAGAAGGAACCTCGGTCACAGCAAACGTGAACTCGCGACGACGGACGGATCGGGAAAAAGGGGCAAAGTTAAGGAGAGAGAGAGTTAATTTGCGCGAAGATGCGCGAATATAAATTCCGTGCTTTATACAGAGAGAGGGAGAGAGAGAGGGAGTTTATTACAGATATGACGCAGTACCCGCAGAGGGAGTGACGATGTTCGTTAAAGATACGAAGCACGACGCGCGAGATGAGAAATTTGGAGGAAAGACATGGAGACGGGATGCCAGAAAGATAAGGGCAGGGAGGGCGGGCGGGCGGGCCGGCGGACGAGAAACATTTCGCAGAAAACGGGGAGGCGAAGAGGGGAGAGAATATGAGAGACAGAGAAGATAAAAGATAGTGAAATGCGGTGAGCAGGGCGGGAAGAGGGAGAGGAAAAAGGAGAAGAAGGGACAGTGAAACAACACAGGGATAGAGAGGGAGATCAACAAAAGGAAGGAAGGAAGAGCAGAGGGAAGAGAGAACGTTAATTTGGAAGATCAGAGGCGAATTTAGATGGAAAAGAAAGGATAAAAGACGGACGGGGGGAGCTGGCGGGATAACAAGGATTAACCAGAGATTATTAGTTTTGCCCACTCCTCACCGGTACATACCTTCGACGTCGATGGAATGTACCCTGACCCATATAGATCAAGTAGCTCCTTAAACGTGACAGGCCCTCTGTATACCCCCGCGGAATCCGTGTACAGCAATTTCTCTTCTTTCAGGGACAGTAAGGTAGAGTCGTCAACATCCGTAAGCGTCACCCGCGGACCATGGGTATCGTTCCCACTCCCATAGCCCGTCCTCCCGCTAGAGCGAGGAGAAGGCACCATGAAACCCCTGCGAAGGATAGGATTGCCTCCGCCTCCCCCATCTACGGGTCTCCTTCCCCCTCCCCCTTTCTCACCACCACCTCTCCCCCCCATCTCCCCGCTCAAGTAACCTTCGTCATCCTCGCAGTCGTACGGTAACGACCTCCTGCCACCACCAAAACGCCCACCGCGTTCTGCTTGCCACCCATACCTGTTCCCTCTCCCTCTCCCTCTTCCTCCTCCTCCACGTCGTCCGCCCCCCTGGTAATACCACCCGCCGCCATCCAAACCGCCACCGCCTCCTCCAAATCGCCCCCCATTCCTTTTATAGTAATACTCTCCCCTTTCATCGTATTCTCCCTCTTCCATCATGTCCCTCCCATGCCTGTGCGTCCCACCCACTCCTCCTCTCCCTCGGCCACCTCTGCGGTCCTCGCGCCACGGTTCGTTACACCCACTTCCAAATCTCTCATGCTTCCTTTCGAACCTCGGACTCTCCCCTCCATACCTCCTCCCCTCTTGCGGCGAGCCTGCCGGCCGCCAAGGTCCCCCCCCCCCTCCTTCCGGCGAATCGTACGCCCGCGGCCTTCGATCATGATCCCCCCCTCCCTTGTGCATGCCGTTCCGGTTCTCCTCGTCGTCACCTCCGTCATCAGCACTCGCACTCCTCACCCTTCCCCCTTCATTTCCCGCCATCGCGTGCTCCCCTTTCTCACCTTTCTTCCGATGGCTATCCAGTATTGACGCTTCTTTGCTGTTGACGTCCGTATCCAAAGCCCACCGATCATCCAACTCCACGCTGTCCATTTGCATGTCATCCAACATTGCCTCCTCTAGATGCTTCGTGTTGTTTTCCCCTCTCCTTGATGGGCTCTTTCTTCCCGATGATAAACGCCTTCCGTCTCGCCGTTTACTGCTTCGACCCATCACATGCTGCTTCTCGTTGCCCAAATCGCCCACCACCTCCTTTCCCCACCTTACCCCCAGCAACGACCTCGTTATACCCCAACTCCTCAAAGTGACCGTTGCTTATCGCCCTCCGATGCCCCGCCCCGCCGTCACCCAACGTGTTCACCCCAAGTGGGTGACACGCGTAACGGCGCGACCAGACCGCGTGTCGTCTACATCATTTCGCCCAACTTTGCGAACCGAGACACGCGTCAGCGAAGACGCCAACAGACAGCACCCGACCTAGCAACGGATGCCCACTCCTCCCAGTGTCCTCTCAGACATCTAGAAATTCCTCTCCTCCCAACCCTTCATTCCCCGCGGAAGGCCACTCGTCGTCAACCCCTTATACCGCGCCATACCATCTCGCCAAGAGTCCCACCACAACACGCAGCACAGTCACGGAATCCAGAAAAGACACTGCCGGCGGGGAACCAAATGAAAAGGGGGGACCCTCACGACCGCGGGAATCAGCGCCCCTAATTGGGACGAAGACGAGGAGAGCCAGAGCGGGAAGCGGAACAGAAATACTATGACCACGTGCTTCTCTGGCGATGTAATCTTGAACCCCCAGAGCCACACACGGTCGAAGGTCATCAACAACCCGCTAAATTACACAGAAAACAACGCACAGTGAATTCTGTGTCGATACCAGCAAAAGGAGGGCAATCCAACGGATTGGCGGCTGAAGAAGGCAAGTCGCCGCTTCATCCGCAACGTTCACCGCTGATGCCAGGCCAGGTTACCTTCCCCTGTGTTCTCTTCCCATCAATGGTTGCTTGCCCCGCCGACTCAACAATCTTGCCCTCATCTCTCCCTCCCCCCTATCGCTTCCGTGATGGATCGCCAGATCCATTTGCTTCTGGCTGCGTTCACCCATGTCCGTGCCCGGCCATGGTAGCCAACTTCACGGAGGGGCAAGGCCTACTACTTCCAAGAGCGTCAGGGAGACGCTCCATGGAGCTTGGGACACGTTTCATCGGCCCATTATGCCCTTTCTGCCCGCTTGCTGCTCTGTCCTGAGCTGCTTACACTCCAAGCGCATTTCTGCAACCACCGTTATCACCGAACACCACATCCAACCAAGGAACGAAGCTGCTGATGGGGACGGTGGAAGCGGGGACATCAGAACAAGTCCATTGAAGTTCGCAGCCTAAAGGCTGCAGTGGTGCGGTACGGTCTCTGTCCCAAGGTGGTTTTTTTGTGCGGGAGACTGGCGGGAAACGGGGTTAGAAGGGGTAAATTCCGAACGACCTTCGGGTCCTTCGGGTCCTTCGAAAGAACAAGCGGAAGCTGTGACGGGGCTTTCAGGTCCATACCTCCACGCCGGTTTATCAGTAAGCCCGCATGCAAACATGCCTCTCTTTGCTTGTGTTGACCTCAATGCACGAACCCCCACAGCAGAGGGATTGACCCCTGCTCATCGCCGCAAAAAACACGTGGATACAAAAACAAGTGCATATTATTATCGGCTAACCGCAATGGCATGGGGAACACAGCCCTGAGGGGCCATTCTTCTGTTTCTTTGCTTTCCCTGGGAAAGGTACGTACTGGCAAGGCAGGGAACGGTGCCCCAAGGATCTGTGTTTTTCCCCTCATTGAGAAGAGGTCCAAGCGAGTGGGCGCACAGGCTCTCTCTCTCTCTCTCTCTCTCTCTCTCTCTCTCTCTCTCTCTCTCTCTCTCTCTCTCTCTCTCTCTCTCTCTCTCTCTCTCTCTCTCT